ATGCAGTGTCTGAACAGTGAGAGCACGTGTGTCCTCTTCTGGTATGCTGTGGTTGTCCTGAATGATGTGATAGGTTTTGAAATTTGTTGCAGTGGCAGGAGCGTGGGGCTTTATTCTCTTTGTATTTTGTACGTTTATTAGTAGGCTAAGTTCTTCTGCCGCGGTCTGTTACAGAAGCATTTGTGTTGACAAAGCTCCCAATCTGTCCTGGTATTAATACAAAGACTCTCCAGAAGTGATGATCCCATGAGCTGTAATTGTATCTGGGTTGGCTGTAAACATTCGGCCTTTGTCTCTGGGCCTTGGTACGCGTTTGGTGTGACGTTGTCAGTGTGCCGCATCTTTCTGAGCCGTTGTGCTGGCTTTGCTAGCTCTGTAGCCTGCATTTGCTTGTGAAAGCTGCCCAAATCCAAGCATTGTAGCCTTTGCCTCTTGTGGTGATTTTTCGGTTTTATTTGTGAAGAGCAGGAAAATGTCATGTTACTGCAGTTACATAAAAGATCTCAAACACTTAACACAGGTGATACCTGTGCAGCTAAGCTAGATTATACAAAATCACTGTATGTCGGCTGTGTAGGGAAAGGCACAAAATAATGGGGGTTTTTTGTTAGCTGCTGAGAGTTAGTACTGAAGTACCTGCTATTCTAGAGTTCCTCTCATGAAATGTTGTCTTGGTATTTGGGAAGCTGGTGTTCCTTACACGATGCAACTCAAATCCATCTCTCATCTCTATAGGATGCAGATGTAGAAGGAAAGGGTGACTTAATTCTCTCAACAGAATTAGCTCATGTCAAGTCTGGTTGTTTGACCTTGCAAACCACGGGCTTGGGCTTTCAGTGTGTGCTATGGTGTTACAAACTCATGAGCTTGTTTATATCTTGGGATCAGAATGCTTGAAGTTTGTGTGAGAATTCTGTATTTCAAAATACAGTGACTCACATCCGCATGAAACTCTGCTGTTCCAAAAATATGGATTAGAGCTCTAGAGAAACTTAGTGCCATTTCTGTTTTTAAGTTAAACAGATTTATTGGTAAGTGTGAAGAATTAAAAAGTGTTGCAATACTTTTTGGAAGTTGGATAAACTTGTATTTTTATATCAAGCATTTGCTGTGGACAAGTTGGACTGTGTTGTAAATGTCCATATTCCAGTCATCTAAAACTTGAAATATTTTGTGATACAGATAAGTGAATATGCTTACAGGGTATTTAAGAAAAACCTTTGTGATAAATGTGTTTTTCATGTTTCAAAAGCTAAAGCAGACTAAAAATTTGAATACTTAAATCATTTTTAGAGTATGGTAATTTATATGTGCTATACAGTAATAAAGCAGACAGTATCAAATGTTTAGTCAAATGCAGCAGGACTTGTTTTCATTGCCAAAAATGGAATGAGTTGGAATGAGAGCAAAGAATGAGGTAGGGCTGTCATTCAGTGCAGAAGACATCAGCACATTCAAATAGCCACTGTAATGTGTTTAAACACGTAGTGGGATTGCTCAGTCATCAAATCTGGGCACTCAGTCGTGCCCCTGTCTCATGAAGGATTTGGTACAAGCTTTTTTTTTTTGGAGGAGGTTTTTGTATAGGCCCACCCCAGACTGGGATCAATAATGATTGTAGCCAGCAAATGTCCTACTGTGGGATTGTTTTAATTAAATCCTTCTGGTAGACAGAGAATTATTAGAGAAGAAGCATATAGACAGTGAAGAATTGAGCTTCATTCTGCAAACCGTCTTCAGGTTCCAGATGCAGTTTAGAAGAGTGGATTGACAGAAGTTCATCTTCTATAAATCATTGCAATTAACAGACTTGCTTAGACCCAGACTAACATAATTAACAAATGCTTGATTATTTTTTTTAAAGACAAACCAAAAATACCTGTTAGGAGAATGCACGAACACAGTCCAAATGTTGACTGTATCTGGAGAATATTTTTAGTCTAATGAGACTGAGGATTTTAAGAAGCAGATGGCTCAATGAAGCTTGGAAGGTATTTTGCTTGTTCTTTCTATTTTCTGTTGGGAGTGTTGGTGCAGTCTAAAGTCATAGCAGTAACGTTTACCCTGTCGCCTTTCTTCTAACCCAATGAGCTGGCCAGAGAAGTTCAGGTCTCAAAAACAGCTGGTTCGAACAAGTCTTCAGGCAGTTGGGACATGGTTAGCAGAGTCTCCCTTCTGATGTTCCCCCCTGTGCATAAAGTGTGCATAAAGTGCATCCAGTGTGCAGTATGAGGGTCTTGAGGTAAGAATATTGCAGAAGATTTTACAGATAGGTTGCATGCTATTAAAAACAGTGAGATGTTATCAGTACAAAATCTGGAGTATCTTTAATGAAGTGGAGCTCCTAAAAATAATAATTTGGGAACTCAGTGACAGCTGGGAATTCAGCCCTGTTTCTCCAGCAGTGATGGTGGTTTGTCTTTCAGGAGCATCTTAAGTGAAGCTAAGGAGAAAATGCACTTTTCCAAGGTACTCTGTTTGGTAAAGGAAGGAAGTGGTTAAACCACACGTAGCTGGCCATCCGTTTGTCTTCCTTGGCTTTAAAATCTTGGCAAGCTGAGCACTGGAGTTCGTTGACAGCCATTTGAGATGTTAGGCCTTAGTCAATCAAGAATAGATATTCTAAGGTCTCTGCTTTGTGTATGATACGTTTCAAAGTGAAGCTGAAAGATGCAAACAGTTCATCTTTTTTTTAGTTACTGGGAATATCATGTAGTCTTCGAAGTTATTTCTAGCTGTGGTTTAAAAAAAAAAAACTTGAGGGAGTGGTTTGAGCTTGTTTAAAAGTAACTTAATGCAAGGGCTTTGGTTACAGGTGAGAATTCTAGACCTCTAGAGCTAGAACTTCTCTGGAGTATGCTGCCAGGTGGGAACTCTGCTGTGGTAGTCTGCTTTGCCAGAGCTGATGTCCTTTATTCACATGGTTTCTCTTGAGGTTCAGCACTTCAGCTAGAAGGTCAGTTAGGAAGTAAGCTGCTTATTTTTAAGAGCCAATTCTAACAGGGTTGTGTTTTTCTGCAGTGTTCAGATGGACAGTGTTCTGCGTTCTGATAAATCCAGCATCTTTACAATGTCAGAACCTAGGTTAAGTCAGGAAGGTCTGGGTTATTCTTTTGTGACTTGCACTTTGAGAGCTTGCTACGGCTAAGTTTGCTTGGGAATCACTAACAGTAATGCTGACAAACAGGTAGGATCTCTTCCTCTGTGAAACTTCTTACTGCTGTCTGGAAAACTAAAGCAAAAACCATAAAATGTAATTAAGAAAGTGTAAATATGTAAGCATAGTGCTCATTTTGGAGTCCCCTATTAGAGTAGCAATTTCCTTCATGTTATTTTGTAAGGCCTGGGGATGTGAAGATAATATCTGGGTGCTGAAACTGAGGTTCACCAATTTGTCCTTGGCTACTAGAATTTAATTAAAACAAAAAACATTCCAAATGTGTCAAAGATATGAAGAGACACTCACTGTTGAGTGGGAAGCTCCATGCCTCACAATGTTACCAGACCTGTGAGGAAAAAGTAGAAATTGTTTTTTGAAAAATCTCAGCAAGAGGCAAAGGACTTCCTTTTACCTTTCTGTAGCAAGGGTCTTTCTAGCACCTTTTGAAGGGCTGTGTGCTGTGGCAGCTTAGTGACAGAAAATTCACTTCTATGAGCAGCTGTGGGCCACATCTGTCCCATATGTTGTATGTGCCCTAACCATGGCTTGTTCTGGATAGTGGAGTGCACTTCTAATCCTGTGTACCCAGGATCACAGAATCACACAATCACAATATTGGGAGTTGGAAGGGACCTCAAAAGCTCATCCAGTCCAACCCCTGCCAGAGCAGGATCACCAGACCAGGTCACACAGGAACACGTCCAGGCGGGTTTTGGATGTCTGCAGAGAAGGAGACTCCACAACCTCTCTGGGCAGCCCGGGCCATGCTCTGGCACCCTCACAGTGAAAAAGTTTTTCTTCATGTTCAGGTTGAACCTCCTATGCTCCAGCTTGGGACCATTGCCCCTTGTCCTGTCACTGGACATCACAGAGCAGAGCCTGGCTCCTTCCTCCTGACACTCGCCCTTTACAAATTTATAAACATGAATGAGGTCACCCCTCAGTCTCCTCTGCTCCAAGCTAAAGAGACCCAGCTCCCTCAGCCGCTCCTCATAAGGGAGATGCTCCACTCCCTCACTCATCTTTGTAGCCCTACGCTGGACTCTCTCCAGCAGTTCCCTGTCCTTCTTGAACTGAGAGGCCCAGAACTGGACGTGATGCTCCAGATGCCAGGATATCACTAGGTT